GACCATTGTTTTGTTTTCCATACCCAGTGGCATATTCTTGTTAGGATTTGGACTGATTCAGTCTCCTCAGTTTGGAATAATTCCACTGGTGCTCTGTCTATTCCAGGTGCGTCATTCCTTCCAAGTGCTTTCGGAGCAGGCTTACATGTAGTGTGTAGGCTTCCATGTTACAAAAGGGATGTGAAGGGAAGGTAAAAAGAAATCCAGCCTCCAGTGATTACAATTAAATAGTGCTTTTTATGTTGAGCTGGAATGGAAAATCAGTTTTCATTTCAGCAGCAAGCTGCACACCTGCTGCCAGAGATGGATAAAGTCTGAATTAAAAAAAATACTTGGAGGTTAAACTTACCAAACTAAAATATTGACATTTTAAGGCCCTTCCATTGTACTCTCAAATCTGTAGGCTGATGTGGGCAAATTCACCTTATTGGTACCTGATAGCAGAATTGACTTCACTGAGAAGATCTGCATATATAGAATGTGTAATCAGCAAAATGTCTCAAAAGAGAAAAGTGAAAGCCAGAAAGATTGTTGTGGAAAATGTATGGAGGTTAAAACGTTCATATTTTCCTTCCATTTTAATTGTTGATTGTAGTTTTATTAGCTTTTAAACTCTTTGGTATAGGTAGAATTTTTATTAAGCTATTATGCATTGTTTTGTTATTGTTTTATTACAGCCTGTAAAAAATTATTCTTATACAATTGTTCTGGACATCACAGTTTAAAAAAGATGCAGGCATGTTGGAAAGAGTATAGAGGGTGATACAGGGACTGGAATCAAAGCCCCGTGAAGAAAGTTTGAAATAACTGGGCATGTTCAGCCTGAGAAGACGGAGGGGAGATATGATAGCATTTTACAAGTTCTTGAAAGACTGTCACAAAGAGGAAGGACAAGATCTCTTATTGGAAAGAAGAAAAAATGGGCTCAAGTTACAAGAAGCCAGATTCTGGCTAGGTACAGTAGTACCTCGGCTCATGAACTTAATCCATTCCACGACTCTGGTCATGACCTGAACTGGTTGCAAGTCAAGTCAAATTCCCCCATAAGGTTCAGTGTAAATATGGATAATCCCTTCTGTAAATATTTTTTTATCACAAAAGTTTGAAACAAAGTAACAAAGAACAACAAAGTAACAAAGTACAGAACAGTAGAGAACACTAACCTAGGTGGGTGGGAGGTTATTGTTTGGAGGGAGAGTCCAAATAATAATCGTGCAATAGTGATCGTGCTGGGGGGCGGGGGGGAATGGCTGTGATCATGATCGTGCTCATGCAGGGAAGATGGGCTCATGGGGGGGGGGGGGGAGATGGCCACGATGGCCCCCAGATCGTGCTCGGGTGGGGGAGATGGCTGCGATTGTGATCATGCTCATGCAGGGAAGACGGGCATGATCGTGTTCATCACCTCAGGCAAGATTTTTCCAAAATTTCTGTTCGCAACCCGATTTGGTCATGAACTGAGGTATTCGTGAGCTGAGGTACCAGGAAAAAATTCCTGACTGTGAGAGCAGCATGACAATAGAACCAATGACCTAGGGAGGATGTGGGCTCTCCCACACTGGAGGCATTCAAGATGCAGCTGGACAGCCATTTGATAGGGATGGTGTAACTTGGAGTCTTGCACTGAGCAGGGGTTGGACCCAGTGGCCGTCTGGCCCTTTCCAAGTCTGCTGTGATTCTATGATCTTTTACTTAAAACTGGTAAAACTGGCCACCTTTGAGTATACACAAACAGTTTATGTCAGTCTTAGCATGTCAACCTTATCAATAATATGCCAGAGTGCTTTCAAATCTCTATTGTACTCAAAGTCCTTGTAATATCACTGCAAAGGTGGTATGTATTTCTTTATTGCAAATATGAAAGTGTGACACTTGAGAGGCTGTCTGTCCAAACTGCAGTTTGAATCCATATTTCCAATTTCTCATGTTTCCCAGATACATTTAAATGTCCCTGGTACTTTTGGTAGAATAAAAGAGCAGAAAGTCAAAAATAGAGTTAGTGTGTTAGTTATATTTGATGTACATTCATTATACAAATAGACAGAATGGCATGGAAATTATGGCTAGTGTCCAGGCAAAAGGACTTTCCCACCCCTTAGAAGAAGTCTCTCCTGAGGAGCAGCAAGGGCCTGTGGGAAAAAGGAGGAAGAAGAGCACCAGTGGATGAGTGAGTGGCGTTGTTGTTGTTGTTGTTAGTCGCGAAGTCGTGTCCGACCCATCGCGACCCCATGGACAAGATTCCTGCAGGCCTTCTTGTCCTCCAGCATCCCCCGGAGTCCACTCAAGCTCACACCAACTGCTTCAGTGACTCCATCTAGCCACCTCATTCTCTGCCGGCCCCTTCTTCTTTTGCCATCTATTGTTCCCAGCATAAAGTCTAAACTGGAGTCTTTATAAATCATAGGATTCATTTTAGTAATGTCAGGATGCACTTGGATTTTTATATAGTGATCCGCTTGTCATAGTCAGATAACAAATTAAAACCCAAGATTCATTGTACTCACAGTTGGGACCATGCCAAACCAGAAGGAGGACCCATGAAAGCAGAAACCCAACTGGCCACAGCTTTACTGAGGGAAATGTATGGCATCTTTTGTTTTTTTTGTTTTTTGCATAGAAACTCAAGGACCCTTTAAGAGAGACACTGAAATGTGGAGCCCAGATTCTACTGTCTTCATAACATTACTATAGAAAAACTAATGGGCTAGTGTTATTAAAAAGTCAGACCCAGGTTCTGAATGTTCAGTGAGTTCTGTAAAATTGTAGTAACTTGAACAGTAAATAATAATTTATCAGATTTATTAAGTGAAGCAGCCACTGATAACCGGCATGTTATCTCTGTTAGCATAACTTTAGTCAAGTCTTTCTAAAGCAAGCATAGCTCACACACTACCTGGCTGCCTCATTTTCCCCTTGTCTTTGGCTTGTAAAATTAGGAGGTGTACTCAGATACATTAGATTGTAAATTAGGCCTGGTTTCCACAAGTTAGCACTCAGCCCAAATCACATGGTAAAGTGGGGAGAAAAGACTGTAAGGTGCTATGAGAATTAACTCTTTCCTTTACACTGCTGTTTTTCATTTTGCTGAACACTGCCTGTGCTTTCAATAATAAAGTAATTTATTGCAGTGTAATATGAGAACAGTACAAACTGGTTTGTTTTGGAAATTAGCAAAAAGGATTTGGTTCACCAAGGCTACTAAGAATCTTCATCTTTTAATAAGGAGTATTGATAAAATAGTTTTTAGATTGAAAGAAGTGCTTTGGAAGTCTCCTGATGCCATCTTATTTGTTGGACTTAATGTTAAATTCTGAAAATGATATTGACATAGAAAGTAGCTTGTAGTGAAAGAAAATGCAAAATATCTAAACACATGATGTGGGTATATAAAACAGTCCCCAAGTTAGGAATGTATGGATTTGGTCAAATTGATTGTAAGGTGTGTTTTGTTCTATCATCTGCTAATTGATGGGATCATTTTTTGCATGAGAATGTTGTGCCTGTTTGCAAATATGCAAGTCTTCTCACCACGAAAATACTGGCCTATAATTCTGCACTTTTTAAAAAATTAAAAGACCTACACAGCATGGAAAAAAATGGTCCAATGTGGAATCTACAGGTCAGATTCACAGAAAATTCAAACTGATTTGAATCTATTATGGATTTTTCCAACATCCACTTTGATTTTTCCTGGTAGGTTTGTGTTGTGGCTTGATAAGAAACAATGCAAAACAAGCCTGATTGCCAGAATTAACCTTAAACAAGTATGTAAGTGATTGTGATGTAGCATCCCCAAACAGAGAGTGGTTGTTGCCAATGAGTAGCTAAGATGCTTTAGATCCGGAAGGAGAAGTGATCTAAACATCGATTTTTAGGAGTAGAAGATGTAACTTTGATATAGTTTTAAAACTTGTAGAACTTTCTTGCAGTAAAGTCACTATTGCACCATTGGATTTTAAACAAATTTAAGAGAACAGTAGTCGTTTATGCTGTATTTTGCAAGCAAAGTTCTCTGCATTGGTTGGTTTCTGTCTCTTACCAAAGAATAAATAAAACCATGTTATCTACGTGATATTAGCATGAAAGCAGTTATGCGGTAGAGACAATGGCAAAGCTTTCACTGAACTGAGTGAAGTCATATCTTGTTTGTACATACTGCTAATCCATAATTTACTTTCTGTGAATGTACCTCACTGAGCCTTAATCAGGCTCATTTGCTCATGAAAGTGCAAAGAGGATTTTGGTAGAGTTTAGTTTGACTTTCTAAGCATGATCATTTTTGCAGTTCATGGATCACAGATGTTTAGCTAATAAACCAGATTCTGATCTCTTGCTTTGGCTATGTGTTGTTTAGAAAATGAACAGAGTGTGTTTCCAATGAAAATACCTAGTTTGACCATAACACTAAGCCAGGATTCAATAAATGTTAAACTAAACCATGCTGAAGTCCTCCTCCTGGCCAAGAAGATTAGGAGAGTCAAGGGGGAGCCTATAATTCAGCACTTTGCTTCAGCTTGTTCAGGTTTGTCCATGTACTGCCAAAGCAGGATTTAATATGTGCAAACCAGCTTACCAACTTACATCTTTTTGTTGGGTGATACTCTAGTGCCATAGTTAATACTATCTGAAATGACAGTCTATATCGCAATTGCCAAGCATTCTAATGAATCTAATATGACAACATCTCTGAAAATTAAGCAGGAGTAGGCTTAGTCGTCACCTTATTGCAGACTACCTGTGATTCCCATGCAAGCTACTTTCAGGTTCTTTGGAGAAAAGCCAAGAAACAAATGTAACTAGTGTTTCCATTCTGTTGACATGAAAAAACAGACAGAATTGATAATTTCATAAACTCAATATTTAAAAATATGGAACTGAGAGTTTTCTGAGGTGTTCATTACATTGTAAAAGGTATTAATACACTCTACTTTTGAAAAATATGGTGGGGATTGAAGAATGTGGGGTACTGTGGTTAAATTAAAAATGTCTTCTTTTTACAGTTGAATATGATAAAGAATTCACACCTTATCAGCGACACCACAAGGAGTTCAAGTTTAATTTGTCTCAGATTCCAGAGGGAGAGGCTGTTACTGCTGCTGAGTTCCGAATCTACAAGGACTGTGTCTTTGGAGGCTTTAAAAACCAAACCTTTCTGATTAGCATCTATCAAGTACTGCAGGAACATCAGAACAGGTTTGTGCATTTCATGCCAAAATTGTGAAATCCAGAGTGGGGAGATTGTGTTAAAAGAAGTGTGTCGTAAAGTGTCGTAAAAGAAAGAAGTGTGTCGTAAAAGAAAAAGTGTGTCGTAATCAAGGAGAGCCATTCATATATGATTGGGCGAAGGCTTCTTGTGGGTATTTGCTGTCATTTTTGGAGATGCATTTAAGTTTCCTATAGTTATATGCATTTTAGGCTACACTCCTATACTTGGGAGTAGTCCAACACAATTGGGCTTTATTGACTACTCACAGTAGAACACAATTGACGAAATTGACTACTCACAGTAGAACACAATTGGGTTTATAAGGTTAGGATTGCAGTGTTAACATTTTAACATGTTTCATCCAGTACTATAGCTCGGAATTGGCCAATTGAAGATAAGTAAAAGCAACTACCCTAAAACTTGAGCCCCACTGGTTTAGAAAATCCCACTGGTTACAAGAGTCATCCCAAATGAGAAGTTCTTTCCATACTTTTCGAAGATGCCTCAGCTTGGATTTATTTCAATGACTCTCCAGAGGGACATTGCTTCACTGCTAATATACATGATTCATACAACTGCATCTAGAGTGTGCTTCTGAGAGTTTCACTGTGATGTCTACAGTAGTAAGGAAGTGATGTAGTTAGGGACAAAATACTTCATGTGCTAACCTTCTTACTTTTCACTAAAATATATCTGCCAAAATTAAACTCTGTATCACAAGATGGCATGCAATTTTTCCTCCCCCTCTTCAGTTCAGAAAGAGTCAACTGTTGGTATTGTTTTATTCATTTGATCATCTTGTTAGTGTGATTTTGTTTAATTCAGGCGATTCTTTACAGTTTTATGCATCTTGTGTGTTGCTTTCAGTGTGACTTACAGGGAAATGACTTGTTATTAATTGATTAATTTTCCGGGAACCATGATTAGAATGAGAATATCTAGAGCTAGCACATGAGATAACATTTTGTTCTTCACTGTATGCAGATGCTTTAACTTCACATCCATTTGTCCAAACATTTTTTGTTTAGGTAGCATAAGAACAAGGTCATAAGAGCTTTATATAAGCCAGAGCTTCTGAATATTTCAGGGCAAACTTTCTTCAGTCTACATAAGCTATTACAAGGTTTATGTAGGCTAGGCTTCCCAGCTGGATGTTTTCCACATGAGTGAGACAACAACTCCCATCATGGCCATTGCCTGTGGATGATGGTATTTGCAGTCCTACACATCTGGAGGGGGGTAGGAAAGTTGGGAAATGCTGATGGAGGAAATTTGAAAAAAAAACCATACTGAACATCTAGAAAGAAAGTTGCATGCTAGGTCAATTGAAGTGTCAGGTTGGGAAGAGTGTGTGTTTATGTGTGAGCAGACTGGTAGTGAGTGAATAAGACTTCTGTATGGTGAGCAGAATAGGTATGGGGAAGTGGCGTTGGGTATAGGTCGCTTGAGGACTAGTGTGTTGGGTGTGAGAGTGTGGGGCTGTGAGGAATATGTATGGAGTAAATGCAAAAATGATTTATGTCTGCTAGAGAGTAACATGTGCTGTGTGTACATATAGGAAATGTACTGGGTGAATAGGGAAGACCTATGTGTTTTCAAGTGTTCCTTCCTGAAAACAAGAGCAGGGACACAAAACATTTCCAGTCATGCTTGGTACCTGGACTAAATTTTAATTTATGTCCTCCTGAGCTATTTTGATTAGTGCCTGATAATTTGGTGCCTGCTTTCACCAACCCTTCTTCTTTGGCCAGCTTAGAAAGTATAAAGCTCAGATTCTGTCAGCTGATACTTGTACAAGATATGTGGGCCCCACTATTGGGCTCTTTTTTACCTTGATTCATCTGTGGATGCTTTCAGTATTATAGAGACAATTTTGCTTAGAAAAACTTTACCCCCTATTTATTGGGTCATCCCCTGCTTCCACTCTCAATTTAAAATACAAAACTCTGAACAAGTTTGTGGCAAACATATTTTTGTTAATTTTTGCTTCTTTTGTGATGATGACTCATTTGGAATATATTGGGTTTTTTCTTTTCTTTTTTTTCCTATTGGGAACAGACCTCTGAGGTTGAATAGTAGGGAAGCACATGCTTTTTTTAAAGACCAAGCCAGAAAAAGTTTGTAAGACATTGAGTTCCAGCAACTGTCCGATGCAGGCCAAAAACGAACAGATGTTTTTTGCCTAAAATACAGCCTTGTCATTCTTTACCTTGAAGCTAATTATCTGACTAAAGATGCAATGTGTCTTAACATTAATGAGATGGTTTTAAACTATTATCAATCTACAGGATTTTGAACTTGAGCCCAAGGGATTTCTTTGTAGTTGACTTGAGAATAGAATAAATACTTTGAGGTGTGTTTGTTTGTTTAAGGTTTGTTTGTTGGTTGCTTTTTAAGCATAGAGAGTACATTTTATCCAGGAATGACTTGCTGCAGCTAAGCCTTTGTTGTGTCAGCCTATAACATACTCTTAGAAATCACAGTTTATGCACTTCAATTGAACATAAAGACACTTTGCTTTTTATGGCAAATGAGATAGTGACTGACTTAGATGATAGGATTTTGGACTATAAATTTTTGAATGAAACCCCAGGTAATTTGTGTCCCACATGTAGGAAAGCAGCACAAGATTCTGTTCCCTGATGTACTAATTTGTTATACACAGGGAACTTTTTAAGCTGGGAAACATTCAGAAATGTGACCTTTTTACCCACTGTCTGAAATTTCAACCATCCAGAATGCTGCCAAGTATTCTGTACCATGATTTATAGCAGCTCTTCTAAGGCTGTGTTTACATTTTACTTATCCAAGTGTTTGTGCACAAAAGTACCCACATGTGTGGAAAATCTTAAGCATTGCAGGCAGAAGAGACCCATTTTTGTAATAATCTTTCCTAAAGATTTTCATTTTATAGAGAAGTTGTTAATATGCCCTTCAAAGCAAAATGAAAAATTAAAAAAAAAACTGCTGGAGATGATTATTTCTCAAGGCATTAAAAGGATCATATCCCACACTCTTCCTACAAAGTTTGATAGTCATGTTAAGTTCTCTCCCTTTCCCCCACTGTGTGTGTATGGGGAGGGGTCCATAAAAGAAAAGGGCTATTGCTTGGATCATTATTTAGGGGGTTATTATTTTGTCTAACATTTTAGATACTTTCTGTGGCTAGTGAAAGCCTAACTTGACTGGATAATGTTACACTGGTGAACAAATTTGAGTGGATAGTATTACTATGGTTCATGAAGCTGAGAATGAATGTTTGGGCCAAGCACTCTTTCTTTGTCTCATTCTTCTCTCCTCCTGGCTTTGGAACGTCATTCCTGGCTTGTATTAAGCCAGAGTTCCTCCTATCTGTACCGAGGGACTCTGGCTTAATGCCAGTGAATAAACCTGGACAATAAACCAAACTGGTAGATGAAGAGGGTGGTGAGCAAAGTGCTTTTGTCCTGTTCCTGGCTTATGAATGAGAGCTTGCCTTTGGAAGCAGTAGGAAGGCAGACAGTATTGAAAAAAATTGCATGCCATTGAAAAGAGTTGCAAGAAACAGGAGGAGGGAAATCAGGAGTGGATTTTTTGCAGTGAAGGACTGGATTCTTTGCGCACTGTGCTGGCTAAGGGTGCAACCCTGCACTCGAACTGAAACTGCCTTTGAAGATAGTTCAGAAGCTGCAGTTCCTGTAAAATATGGTGGCCAAGTTAATAACAAAGAAGGTCTGATATATAATGCTGATTTTAGCCTGCTCGCACAGGATACCTGCATGCTTTTGATTCAAGGTGCTGGTTTTAACCTATAAAGCCTTACATGGCTTGGGACCCAATACCCTTGGGAGTGCTTTTCTTGGCATGAACCCATGTGCCTTATCAAACACCCCTTTTCAGGTGTCTCTCCTGAGGGAGGGTCAGAAGTTGGCAACAAGAGGGAGAACCCTTTCAGTGGTAGCCCCCTCAGTTATGGAGCAACCTCCCCAACAAGGCCCGCTTGGCACTGTTGTCTTTTTGGTGCTTCCTCTTCATTTCAAGCATTTGGCATTACATGATGAGGTTTTAATCAGGTACTGGATTTTTTCAAGTTGATTGTTTAAAGCTATTTAGATATACCAGTATTCTCTCTCCCTCTCTGTGTTCTCTGATTATAAGTTTGTATGCAATGCTGTTTTTAAGTGTATAATGTATTTTAAAGGTTTTTAATATTTGTAAACTGCCCAAACAGATTCAGCTATTGGATGGTTTAGAAATGTAATAAATGAAATGATCTGATCCCCTTTCATGTTTAGACAGAAAAGGTTCCCGCAACTCATAGCATTTTCTAGCTGGGGAATGTTTTAGGAGTTTTAGGAGTTTTTTCCCCCCAAATATTCATAGGATTGCATCCTGAGAAAATGGGGCAGTGCTTAGTTCCAAAAGAGAATGGTGCTGAGCTCAGGTTTGTGGGAGAGTCCTGTTGTTGTTATGTATCATCAAGTCATTTTCAACTTATGGCAACCCTATGAGCTGTCCAAATGGTCCTATCCATGACATCCCTGTTTAGTCATTCTAAATTCAAGGTTGTGGCTTCTCCTTTATGGAGTCAATCCTTCTCTTATTTGGTCTTTTCCTTCTTCTTCAGTTCCTAGTATAATTGTCTTTTATAGGGAGTCTTGCCTTCAGGTGTCTTGGAAGTATGACAGCCTCGGTTTTGTCATTTTTGTTTCTAGGCAAAGTTCTGGCTTGATTTCATCTAGGACCTACCTGTTTGTCTTTCTGTTGGTCTATGGTATTTGCAAAGCTTTCCTCTAGCACCATGTCCTGAATGCATCCATTTTCTTCCTGTCAACTGTCTTCACTGTCCAGATTTCACATCCATACATATTGATTGGGAATACAAGAGCATGGATGATCTTTGTCTTGGTCTCCAAAAAAGAAAAAAAAATCTAAACTTGGTGCTGGAAGAGGACTTTCCACATATTCTTGACCAACAGAAAGATGAACAAGTGAATCCTAGATCAAA